TCCATAGATATTAGTAACTCTAATAAAGCTCAATCAAAATCAAATCAATATCAATGCTAACAAAAATAATCAATTCAATACTAAGAATGACAATGATATTCGATATTTATTATTTAATTTTACATTGGTTTAGATAATTAAAACACATAACCTAATTTTAGATTTTTTTCAATGTTAAGTCATGTAATTACTACTTATTAGACTTATTTTTGCATGATTCAATACTTTTAAATTACGATAATTTTTCATGACCTATTAATTTCATATATTTTTGTTTTACACGATTTCATTATTATTTTTGTTAATTTTTTTGTGTCATCACTCATCTCATATTTTGTGTTATTTTCTTTTTAAAAAAACCTTTAAATGATTGTATTTTGATAGAACTACAGATATATCTAAAATACAAGTTAATTATATGTTTGTATTGATACTTTATCGAAAAAATCCAAAAAAATTTAAAAAATAATGAAAAAACCCAATGTTGAAAAATTCGAGTTTTATTAGTTTGATTTGGTTTATAGATTTTAAAATTTGACAATAATGATTTGGTTAGATATTTGGAAAACCTGACTCAACTCGGTCATGTATACCCCTAATTCCAATCATTCCACACCCCTACCTCTCCAGTCCCACCTGTAATAACAATATTGTCTTATACACAAAAAATGTTATAAGGGAAATGACCAAAAATGCCCTTAAACTATGTGAAATGAATAAAAATGTCATCCGTTTATAGTTTGGCTAAAAAATGTCCTTGTCAATACTTTGGTTCAAAAATACCCTTGCAATCAATACTTTGGTCCAGAAATGCCCCTATAGTTGCTAAATTGGTCAAAAATACCCTTTTCCGAATGAATATATTATTTCTTTTCTTTTTAAACACATCTTCTTTCTAATTAAAATATGAAAAAATTACTTAACTACACATTATTTATTATCATATTTTCTTATTTTCCCTACCATTTCAAAATATATCAAAAATCCCTTTTTTTGCTCATCATTCCTTTTTCCTGATACATTAATTTGAGTTCTCCTACCCATGATTTTCCTTACTTTTTTTCACTCCACAAATCTCTCCATAGTTATTTTCATTAATCTATTTTTCAATTTAAAATCTTTTCTCTTTTCAATTAATGATTTCAAGTTATTCAAGAGACAATTTCTTTTATTTAATTTTAAAAAAATCATCTTAAAAAATTATTGAATATTTTACTCCCGATCTCTTTATGGAAGAGAGGTGGAAAAACCTTGCTAATGCACAAAGTTCATCTTGGAGTGCATTTGGAATGGTTCCAGGAATTTCTAATGGCGGTCTTGATACACTTCATTCTGTTGGTTCGATCTTTCAGTTTTTTGGGCTAACTTTCAATGTATTTCGCTTATTTTGATTCTTAAATTAGTCTCTTTTTTTTTTAGTGTTTTCATTGATCTGATACATCACTGTTACAATAGTGTTTGTTTTAATTCAATGTATCATGTTCATATTCAAGGTATTGATACATAACTCTAATGTTGAATCTTCGATTAGTGTTTATCATGTTCAATATAAATGTACTTGATACATAAACTTTGTGTTATGTATCACACACCAAAAAAATATGCTATTTGGAACAATTTTATGTATAATGTTTTTAAAAATAAAATAAACTATAGTGTTTCTCAAACAAAATAAGATACATACCAACAAGGGTTGTGGTGGAGTGATAAATACTCCTTCATCCTTATCCAAGAGATCTCGGGTTCGAGCCCCCTTGGGTATATAGTCACCTTTGTTGGGGAGTGCTTTACCCCCAATATGGGATTTTCCGGCGCGAATCCGAATTTAGTCGGGCTCCAATGTGGGTACCGGACACCAGGTGGGAAACCAAAAAAATAAAAAATAAGATACATAAATAATAATGTATCATTCACACATTTTTTAGGCATGATATGTAAATTCGAATTCATACTAAATGTATCTGATACATAATTACCAAACAATAATGTAGCGATCTCAAACCTAAAATCTTATGGGCAACACTTTCTTATTTAATGTATCTAGTAGAAATACAATACTTATCAATTTAAATTGAAAGGATCTTCATGATGTATCTTCTCAAAAATTTTGATAATTTTGATTCAAAATTGAAAGGATCTTCGATGAATTAGGAGAATAATTTTGAAAATCAAAATTTTCAACTATTTTGAATCAAAATGGAAAGGATCTTCAATGAACCGGGAGAAGAATTTTAAATCTCAAAATTTTCGACAATCTTGAATCAAAATTGAAAGGATCTTCGATGAACTTGAAGATTCACAAAAGAAATAGTTTGTCCAACAACAATTCCATCACTTTTGTATTCTTCATAACTCACATCGCTTACCCAAATTTCGACAAAAGTTTTTGAATCAAATCTTAAAGGTTTCTTCGCTGAATAGGGGGCCAAGCAATTTAAAAATTTGAATTTCTTCATCCTGTTAGGATTTATCTCTGTATGATTGAAAGTATAAGAAGAAACGTAAGAAGATCAAAATATTCATTATATATCGTATGAAATTTTCGGCTAATGGATGAAACAGAGAGAACGATGAACAAGAAGAAGAAATTTATTTTTTGAATTTTTTGGTTTATTACACTATATGATTAAATTCTTGACAATAATTTGGAATGGAATAGAGCAATTTATGAGATCTTAATTTGATTTTCAGTTTTTTTTTTCCTTAATTAGTGCAACAGATGGATACTATGAGATCTTAATTTGATTTTTTAGCTTTTCTTTCCTTAATAAGTGCAACAGATTGATACATAATGTACAAACAATAATATATCCGGATCCTTAATTATGTATTCGAAATGTCTAAATAACATGGGATTTGTGTAATTAGAAAAAGAATAGAGATATAAGGTAATTTAGATTTTACACTATGAGATTTATGTAAGTTATACAATATTATTAAAGAACCCTCTTTTTTTCTTTCTTTTAAAATCACTTTAACAAATAAAAATATAGGAAATAATTTTTTTCTTCTTAATCTCATTTTATCAATTAAAATAGAATAACTTCATGTACGCTTTCGACGGATAATATATGTCATACATATAAAATCATAGAATATCCATCATTAATTTTTATTTATATCATGATAAATAATAATTATAATAAAATAAGATTTTTTTTTGAATTGAAGTAGGATAAACATTTACTAATTTAAAAAGATGTTATTAGAAAAATAATGTGTTAAAAAGAAAATAAAAAATATATTTATTTGGAAAATGAACATTTTTGCTATTAAATAACAATGAGAGCATTTTTTAACCAAAAGATTGACTGCAGTGACATTTTTTTAACCAAAATATTTACAGCAAAGATATTTTAGAGAAAACTATAAATATATGATATTTTTTCATTTCGCATAGTTTAAGAATATTTATAATTTTTTTTCCTTATTATTATAACAATATTTTGCTTAGCTAACGAACACAAAAAAAATAGTTTTCTTTGTACCGAACGCGTACATTGATGTAGGGGTGTGCACTATTCGGATTAAACCGAATAACCAAACCAAACCAAATCGAAATTTTATTTGGATTGGTTTTTTGGTTTTTCGGATTGGTTTTGGATTAATAAATTACTTTGTTTGGTTTTTTGGTTTGGTTTTGGATTTTAAAAGATAAATACCGAAAAACCGAAAAAAACCGAATTTTATATATATATATATATATATATATATATATATATATATACTGTGTGGAGTTGCGTGGTGTGCCACATAAGTCAAAAGGTGTACAAAATTACAAAAAAAATGAGTTCAAGGGGGTAATAGGACCTTAATTTAGTTAAGGTGTGTCTCTGAGATTTCGGTCATAGTCTAGGGGGTACTTGTGTCTCTCCCTTTTATGTTTGAATTACATCTACAATAAGTATACTTATAAGTATTGTGTTTTAAGTTTTACTTATGATTTATATTAGAAAGTATATTTAAGGGGTTAAATATTATTACTTTGGTTATATATGTTATTAATTATTGACATAACCGAATAACTAAACCAAAAAAAGCCAAACCGAATAGAGAAAAACCAAACCAAATCAAATTTATTTTGGATCGGATTGGGTTACACTTTTACAAAACCAAAAATCGAAAATCCAAACCGAATAGTGTAAAACCAAACCAAAAAACCAAATGTACACCCCTACATTGATGGCTCTTTTCCAAAAGGAGCATAAGGGAATACTTGATCATGAAATAGTGGGTATATGAAAAAAAAAATAGTTTTTATTTTTAAAATAAAAAATAACATTAAAATTATTTTGACCATAAATTTTAATTTGAATTGTTTTAAAAATTTTGAAAGTAATTTGATAGGAAAAAATGTTCTCTCTCCTCGCTACCTACCCCTCCGGGCTCCGGGTGTTTCATATATGGAACAGGTCATTTTGGGACCAGTACGTATTTAAGGCCCATCTTTGAACCCAAACTTGAGGGAGTGTTTGAGAGATATCCATTCTGGGAAAGTAATAGTAGAACCACATACGTAATGTGTTGAAAAATGGATAAAAGTTAATACTCCCTCTATTATTGTATTATTTTAAATAATAAAAAATTCTCAAAAATTCACTTAGAAAATATTGTAGTGATACTATTCCTACGTGGATAAAGCAAGATCTGATTTTCAACATCTTTGTCAAAATTTTGACAGGAAGGAAAATGGTGGCGCTGTCAACTTTCAACAATAAGATGGATGTTAGTCACATCGCACATTTCCACTTTTGTCCTTTAAACCGTTCTTCATATTTTAGGGGTTTGGTTTTCCCTTATTATTATTAGAGTAAGAGATAACGAATCTACACCCCACCCCACCATTATTGTCCCCCAACATCTGTTTTGTCTATGTCTGTCAACAATTATCTGACCAATCTCAATAACAAGTTTTGATTTTTGATCCAAAGGTTCAGTTGGCGTTTGGGTTCTTGCAAAATATTCTAGAATTCTTGTCTTTTCCATCACCTTTGCTTAGAATGACAACGGAGAAGCAAGGTTGTGGGTCTCTTGCTCCTCTTTTACCTGTGGAACAGGATGAAAGGTCAGGGGGAGGAGGATCAATTTCTGGTGCTATATTTAATATCTCAACGGGAATGGTTGGTGCTGGGATTATGTCTATCCCTGCTACTTTTAAGGTTCTTGGGGTGATTCCTAGCTTCTTTGTTATCCTACTTGTGGGATACTTTGTTGAGGTGACGGTTGATTTCCTGTTGAAATATACACATTCAGGAGAGTCGGATTCTTATGGTGGCCTTATGGCTGAGTCTTTTGGAAAGTTTGGTTCTGTTGCTCTACAGATTTGTGTTATGATCACTAATCTTGGTGCCTTGATTATCTACTTGATTATTATTGGTAAGTAACTTGTTTAACATTTATTAAACTCCTTCCTCTTTGTTAAACAAGGTTTTAACCTTCTAATGTTCCTATTTGGTTGATGAAGCAATATGCCACCTTTTAGTCCATCTGTAAACTCAAATAGAGATCCTTGAGTGTTTTAGCTACATATTGGATGGATTTGTTGAATTGAGTTTGATTGGTTTGCCATTTGGTTCCTTGTTTTTTTTTATTTTTAACTAAACTGTCATTCAGTAGAGTTACAATGTCAAAATCTGGGTATAGATTGCTTATTTGTCTTTCCAAAGAAAGCAAACATAACTTTTTAGTTGGCAATCTTGCTTTGGATACAACATAGGAGTGTCACTAATTGATTTGCGGTATGTTTATTTGACAGGGGATGTCCTCTCAGGAAATAATTCTGATGGATCAGTGCACTTGGGTACTCTACAGGAATGGTTTGGCATCCACTGGTGGACCTCGCGGGCATTTTCAGTTCTCGTTGTTGTGGTTTTTGTCATGCTTCCATTGCTCTCTTTAAAGCGCATAGGTTGGTTCAGTCATAATCTCACAACTTCTATCTCTCCTTTTCCCATAAGCTTCATAAAGTCTATCTCTCGTTGTTTGGAATAAATTATTCTTTCTTGTTATTTCACTGCAACAGTAACATCTTTGGAATAAATTATTATTTCTGGTTATTTCACTGCAAAAGTGAGATGTCAACTAACCAAATTGTTTTGCTTTTGAAATGTTCAGAGTGAATATCAGATCTTAATAATGTGTTGTCTTGAAAATAGTTTGCATATTGTTTGGTATTCATTTTACATCAGTAAATTAAAAAATGAATTAACAGTTAGCAGATGAGTTTCTTTTAACACATATGGTGTTATATGATAAAGTACTTAATAGTCACACATGATGTGCTTTAACATGTAAATTATCCTTCCCTTCCCTACCCTGCTAAAAATTTTCAGAAAATAATTTCTTCCCCGCCCACTTCATTTAAGTGCTTCCCTGCCCTGCCCCGTTAGGAGTTTACCCCGCCCCGCCTCGCCCCAGTTGCCATCCCTAATCACTGGATGCATAAACAAATAACCTGCATGTTAAAAATAGATTGAGGATATTTGTCAAAGTGGAATAGCATATATTTCATTTAGTATATGTAAAGCACTGCATATAATGGATTATATTCTTTACATCCAGATTCACTGAGACATGCATCGGCAATATCAATCCTCCTAGCTGTGCTGTTTGTTGTCATATGCTCGATGATGGCAATACATGCAATGTGGGAGGGGAAAACACAAAAGTTACGACTGGTACCAGATTTCTCACATGGAGTTTCCTTTTCTGAACTGTTCACAACCATTCCAGTTTTTGCTACTGCCTTTGGATGTCATGTTAATGGTAAGACGTACTTTCGTGAATACAAGTATGTCATTCTCTTTTTATTTTGGGTGACATCTTTGCTTCTTTGTTACTTTTGTTCTATCCTCTTCTATTTATTTACTTTTGATGAGTTAATTCACTCTCAGAGGTTATATTCGTTTGCAGTTCATCCGATCAGAGCTGAGCTGGGAAGGCCATCTGACATGACATCCGCTGTTCGCATTTCCTTGATATTATGTGTTGTCATTTACTTTGCTGTTGGATTCTTTGGGTACCTATTGTTTGGGGACTCGATCATGGCTGACATGCTGGTCAACTTTGATCAAGTCTCTGACTCTTTAATTGGTACAGCACTTAACGATATTGTTCGATTGAGTTATGCCATTCATCTCATGCTGGTGTTTCCTGTGATGAATTATTCTCTGAGGGTAAACGTTGATGAACTATTCTTTCCTAAAAGACCTTTGTTGGCCACAGACACATTACGATTCTTTTCCCTTACGTGTATTTTACTTGCATTCATTTACGGAGGTGCTGTAGCCTTTCCAAATATTTGGTACTTCTTTCAGTTCATGGGAACGACAACAGTCATGTGCATCATGTTCATATTCCCGAGCTCAATAGTTCTTAGGTATGAGCTACTTCAATCTCGATTTTATATAAAGAAACTTTATCCTTATTACGATATCTGCCTATTCTTCAACAGAAAACAGAGAGAATTGTTCTCTTTGAAATGACAGAAATCTCCATATAAGTTGCACAAGTTATTTTTATCAAACTTCCCACTCACTGCTGCTATAATGTTTTTTCTCAGGGATGCTCACAACATATGTACAACTCGGGAAAAGATATTGGCTGTACTGGTGATCATCTTTGCCATTGGGACTAGTTCAGTTGCCATATACTCTAATATTGCGACTTATATTGCCAACAAATGAACAACTTTGCTGGGTTGCACTCTCAAAATCAGTTGATCGATGCTATAAGGTGGTTTAATTATGTATAGAGATCAGAAGAAGTTCTAATGAGCATTGGAAAATCATCAGCTTGTTCTTAGCAACGCCTTCATGGTTGTCTCATCCAGGCAAAGGGGAAAGAACTCTTTGGTATCTTCATGGCTGTTCTTCTTTTATGCTAAAGCCATATGAAGCAACTGCTTTGCTCAAACTGTTGAGGATCTTACATGATTTAGTTTTTTTTTTCTCAGAATTTTATCTTCATTTAGGAAAATAGGGAAGTCATACTCTTGTCAAATAATGATAATTCAAGAAATAATTTGGTTATTTTTCTTTTTGCAATTTGGAGACAATATTTTTCTTACACTAGGGGGATGGAGGACATGTACCATGGAGTTAAGATTAGGATGAGGACAGTGGGGGATACTCGAAGCACTTCCTCAATACTTATGGGATTGCACTAGGGGTCGGCTCTTAGCCCCTTTTTTTCCCACACTAGTTATAGATGAGTGGACGTAGCACGTATAAGGTGAAGTTTCGTGGTGTGTGTAATTCACAGATAATATAGTACTGATTGACAATGCTTACGGCAGGATCGAAGATTGAATACTTAAGAGTGAACTGTGTAAGTTCAGTGGCCTTACGCATGAGGTCGGCGTGGAAGTGAAGTTTGATGCTCAGGTCATCCCAAAGAGAGGATGTTCCAAATATGTGGAGTTCCTAATTCAAGGTAATGGTAGATTGAAATGATACCACACATTATATTGGTGTAGAATGGGCAAAATAGAGGCTTGTCTCCAGAGTTTTGTGTAATAAGAAGGTACCGCCAAATTTTAAAAGTAAGTTTTATAGAATGATGGTTAGAAAGACAATGTTTTATGTGGTGGTGTGTAAGCCAGTCAAGAACTCTCATGATCAGAAAATGAAAGTTGCTAAGATGAGGATGTTCATGTGTGGATGTACTAGAAGATATAAGATTAGGAATGAGGATATTCAGGACAAGGTATGAGTGACCTCCATAGCGGACAAGATAAGCAAAGTGGATTGAGATGGTTTGGACATGTGACAAAGAAAAGTGTAGAAGCCAGTGAAAGATGTAAGAGTTTGGCAATGGGGGGGGGGGGGTTAGGAGAGTTAGAAGCATGTCGAAGAAGTATAGGGGAGGTGATTAGACAAGACATAATGCATCTTTAGGTTATTGAGCATGACATTACATAAGAGGATTTAGATGTGATGAATTGAGGTAGAAGGTTAGTAGTTGAGCGTCCTCTCGCTTTTATGCGAGATAGGCTTGCGGTCGCACTTGAACCTTCTTTCTTCCAGTAGTATTTAACACTATTCTTGTAGTTTCTTGTTCTTCGATTTCGGTTATCACTTTTTCTTGTGCTTCATTATCAAATTATTTTTGTTGTTATTGTTCTTTCTTCAGCTTATTGTAAACTGTTCTCCATTTCGTATTATTTCATTGTTGTAACTGCCTAATTTATGTTTTCCCTTTTCAAATTATTAAGAAAATGTTTTATTCAAGCTGAGGGTCTTTTAGAAACAACATTTTTATCTCTATGAGGTAGGGCTAAGGTTTGCATACACTTTTTCCTTCCCAGATCTCAATTGTGAGATTATACTAAATACGTATATTCTTATACAGAAAATGAACTAAGTATACTAAATATTCTATTTACAAAGTAGAAAACAAATACAAAATCAAATAGTACAAGGAAATCAATTAATTATAAGTATAGGTGTTCAGGAAAAATCGAAAAATAATCGTAACTAAAAGGGAATCTCAAATAGTAGAGACATGCAAAACAACGATCTGACAATAATGTTTATCTATTTCATGCCAGAGACTCATTCATAAATATATCTCAATAATACTAAGTTTTTTTCTTGAATTAGAAAAAATAATCAGCTTATATCAAAATAATTTTTTCTGTAAACCTGGGAACAAAAGCCTTGCTTATCTGATAAAAAAAATAGCTGAATCTCAAATCCTTTCCCAGTCTGCCAATATACATATAAAACAAGTGTAATTACTATAAAATTAGGCAACATTAAATTTTTAATTTTTATACAGTGACAAAGTCTAATGAGTTTGGTTCTTCAATTAGGTTTTATCAAATTTTAAATGAGAAATAAAATGAACATTAAATTATTGAAGTATAAGACCAATTATTCTTTACTTTAGACCAAACAAAAATTAAACATTTTTCATGGAGACATACATTTTTATAGACCAAAAACACAATAATTAGATGCAATTTCGATTCTTTATAGGATGCTTCACTGACAAAAAAGAAGGTTTACAGACCAAACATACATTAATTAGATGCAGCGATTCTCATATTATATGCAATTTCAATTCTTTCTTCGAAAATTATGAATCAATTTATGGCAACTAAAGAGCATCAAAAAGGAAATTACTTGCATAAATATACTATATAAAAAATGGGCCAAAAAGTTTTGGGTCAAAGTTAAATTTAATTCAGATTTTAAAATATTTTTTAAAAATCTGATTAATAAATTTGGGTTTGCCGAAGAACGGTGACCCTTAAATTGAACGCCGAATCAAAATTTCAGAAAAAAAAAAAAATCCAAATTCGAACTTAAAAAATTGAAACTGAAGAACTAAATTAGTTTGATTTTTTAATTTTTTCGATATTTAAATCCATCCAAAAATAAAAGCAAAACCTGGTGAAAAATTGCTTAACCTTGTGAACATGCTAAAGTCTGAACATCCCTAAAATGGAGTAAGAGAAAACAATTTGATGTTTCTTAAGTTAATGGTGTTATGTAGGACGACATCTCATCTTCAATTCGAAAAATATTTATTCACATTTTGCTCAACAGTTTTTTGAAATATTTCTTTTACTTTTTTTTTTCCAACTCAAGAACATGCCTATGGCTCTATGAATTGCATACACTATGCCACTGTGTAGATCTCTCACGCTACTCTAAATAACAAAGTGTTGTACAATATTTTTTTTGGCCTAACTCATCGACAATTTCTTAAAACTGTTCGTATAATTTATTTAGATACATTAATTACATCTTATACCTATTGAATACCTAAATTGTTCAAAATATGTACCTATTAAACACAAGCGCTGATGTAACAAAAAATGTATTTTGCACTTCCTTGGAGCGTGTGAAGAAATTCAAAATAGTTAAAAGTGTTCAAAGGTACTAGTCTTAGTCGAGGTCTCCAAGTGAATTATGCGGACAACTTTAAGGGGCTATCGATGACTTAAGCCAAAAAATATATGATGGTTAAGGCATAGCATGTCATAGTTGTGTGAGGAATTATTTTAAGAGAAAAAACATAAATTTACCCCTGAACTTCTCTCGAAAGGTCAGTGACGCACTTAAATTATCATGAGGACCTATTACACACCTTTACTATTCAAAATGAATTATTTTACTCCATAAAATTGACGTGGTAAAAAAAATTAAAAAAGAAAAGAAAAGTGTGTTTGGTAAAAAAAAAGAGTAAAAACAAATAAATTAAAATCCTCTTTTTACCACCATCCTACCCCCCACCCCGCGCTTCTTCTTCTTCTCCTTCTTCTTTTATTCCTCCTCCTTCTTTCTTGAGAAAATTGAAGGAAAGGTATCCTTCAAGTCTTGAATTAACTATTGGTGACAATGTTGACCAAAAAAAGGTCAAAGACACTTAAATAGTCGATTAAGTTAATTGGGGACTCAATTAATATTTTCAAAAACTTATAATCTTTTTATAAATACAAAACAATCCACACACTAAATAAATAAACTTTTCACTCCCTCTCTCTCAAACAAGCTCTCCTCTCTCTCGGCTGGGGAGATGACGATCTTCTTAGAAAATTGAAATTGCTCCGTTCTTCCAACCAGTTTCTCCGACAACTTTCAACTTCCGACGCCTAACTTTTTAGCTTCCGATTCATCTATTCTAACCAGCCAGGGGAACATCGATTTGCGAGTAAGGCTTTATTTTTTTGAAAATTTTTTATGGGTTTTTAGTTCATTTTTTAAAAAGAAATACTGGAATGAACAAATCGTTGTAGATGTTTTCCATTAAAAAATTCAAGCTTTTTAGTTTAAGTTTTATTTATTGATTTCATTTTTTTTAGTTTATCAAAATGTTATCTTGGGCCTTTTTATTATCACTTTTGTATAGTATATGCTGCTTGTTGTAGTTTTAGCAGATGCTTTAGTGCAATTTTGGTCAGTTTAGGTTGTTGGTTTAGTGTAGATATTGTTGTAGTTTTGGTAAGTTTTGGTTGTTGGTTTAGTGTAGATATTACTGTAATTTTTTTTCCAGTTTAGATAGCTGATTTAGTGCAGTTTTTGCTGCTAATTTGTGCATTTTTTTGTTGTTGTCTTGATGCAGTTTTGGTTAAATTTTTGTGGTTGTTTTGATATCAGTTTTGTGCGATTCATGTTGAGACAATGAACTTTTTGCTTGTTTATGCTTTAGGAAGTGGATCAACTGATTGTTCTAGAAAGAACAAATTGACTAAATTACCCTATGCTTTAGGACAGTTTTTGGCAAGATTTGATTTTTATTTGGTTTTTTGTTTTTTGGGGTGCTTGGAGAGGATTAGTGGGGTTAGTTGATAATTTAGGTGAGATGGGGAAGAAAAGGGGTTTGCCCAATTGGGTTCCTGATGGGTGGAAGGTGGAGGTGGAGGTTAGAAACTCAAGAAAGGAAAGAAAGAAAAGGTGTCCCTGCTTTCTTGCTCATTCCTTTTTTCTTAATCTTACATTTGTTTTTGTTTTTGTTTTTGTTTTTGTTGTATTTTGCTTTTGGGATGATAAAGATTGATTCTTTTTGTTCTATTCATTTCTGATCTTCCATTGCAACTGTTATTTTTGGCTTAATTTGTACTAATATGATACAAAATCATAACTTTACTTCCCATAACTATTTACCTGGTTGTGTAACTAAGGGCTACTACTTTGTGTCTTCTCCTTGTTGGATAAATTAGCAAGCTTGATGTCATGCTTCATCTGTATAGACAAACTATGCAAAGTAATTGAACTTAGTAATGGATACTTTGTTGAGATGCATGCAAGCTGATCTAAACATTACTATTAGAAAAAAA